GTGATCTTAGATTTAGGCTTCCATAGTGAATATGTATTCTCCAAATAAGCTACAGATTACCACATCACCTGTTTATCATTTAGTAATAGTGTCTGTCAATAAGTCAGTAATATACATTTGGATCTGCCAATAATATCTCTTTGCTGAAAAACCAGTCTGCTGTAGTATTGGTGAGAGTTTTTAGCCTGGTTCCTAGTGCCAACTCGTTTCTACTTCATTTGAGAAAGTTTGATGATTTCTTTCCATCTTGACTCCTCTATACCAAGATACATATTTCTTCAAGTTTTTCTGTAGTTGTTCCTTCAAATTCTCCTCCGTTTTCGCAATCCACCTCTCATCCCCCCATTAAAAAATCATAACAATGTCATCCTTTGAATACCGACATGTCTCCGTGGACAGATAAGATTGATTGAGCTACTTTGTTTAACAAGACTTGTACCTAGGTGTGCTTGTTAAATTATGCCCACTGTAACTGTTATTTCTAAACTGCAGTTTGTTATTTCTTCACATGCAACCCTTCTTGTAATTCTCACTGCAGAAGTTTATTGCATTGTGGTGGAAACAAGACTAATTAGCTGAAGATATCTCAATGTTGTTTTTGATTTCTTGGACTCATTGGGTCCATAGGTTTCTGTTTTGTTTTTGTAAATGGGACACGTTCCCCTTTTGAATGCTTTCTATTGATTTTTTACTGTTAAAAAAAAAAAAAAAAACTAGTCCAAAGCGATTGACGGTCTAATAATCAATGCCATAATGTTGTTTTTGCCCTTGCAAATTTAAACCAATAGTCAACACAACAATGCATCCTTACTCTTTTATTCCCCTGGGCTAGTGCATGGGGAGGGAGTGGGAATGAAAGATCAGCTATCTTAAAAATCCTCAAGGTCCAGACAATAGAGAAAAAATATAAATGTATGCTTCTTTTGATAAATGAAAAGAATATAAATATAGCCATACGAATATGTTCTGTAATTATTTGTTAGTGAACAAATGTGTCTGTAAATACGTAAGTTGTTTTATTTTTGTCTTTTATAGGTATTTTTATGAGTAACAAATTTTATCATGTAGAATATAATATATTACTCATTTCTAGAATATTAATGTCTCAGTTGTATGTCTGCTGCCATATTTAGAGGTGTGCTCACCCATCATCCCATAAAAGAAGCTGATGGGTTCAACGCCTCTCATCTACATTTAAATATTTGCCAACAAATTTCAGCAAAGAAGAAAGGATAGGTCACCAAATGGGCACTTGCCTATATATAGAAATAGATGAGCTGTGAAGAAATTTATTTGACAGGTGCTCGTCTAAGGTTTAGTATGTGGATGTTGTAGAATTCTCTCTCTGACATCGTCTTAACTCTGGGTTGATGCACTGAAAGCGTCAATCCATTGACTGATTTACTTAGTGCCACTTAGGGCACTTTGGTCCAGCCATATCTCTCAGCATTCCTACCTCCGGTGGCATCAACCAAATCTTACTATGCGAAAAACAGGAGATTACAAGTTTCAGCCCCCAAAACCATAGCTCTCTCTCTCTCTCTCTCTCTCTCTCTGTGTGTGATATTCAGTGTTTTTCTCGTTACCCACTCGAAAGCCTAAATGCCGTAATATGTTAGGCTGCAAGAGAGTTCTAAACAAGGTCCACAACTTGCAAGAGAAAATGGGTCAAAAAAATTTCAGGGCGAAGCTAGGAGAAACTCTCGTGGAGGGTCCACACAAAGCCCGTTTTCAGATCAAAATTGGGTCGCGTTTCTGGAAAAAATTCGGACCACAACGTCACAAAATCTCCACAGTATTAGATACTCATTTCACCTCCTCCACATGCCCCTAAGGGCCTTGGCAACTGCAAACTCCAATCAAGTCCAAACAATGTTTGAAATTGATAGTAGGAATGACCTTAGTCATCATATCCACTGGATTCATTGAGAGGAATGGACTTACCTATCCTTACTAGTCATTTTATAATGACGAATTTATCCCTTTGATACTTTATATTAACAATAACACTTTAATTAAGTAGATTAAATATATAACTCATAGATTAGAATATAACTCATATATTAACGTAGTTTATTATATTAAATCATTATTTAAATATATGTTTAATACTGTATTTAAATAGATTAAATATATAACTTGTATGTTAACATACTTTATTCTCTACAATACGGTTAGAAATTATATACATATTTGATGGACATATTAAATATAATTTTTTTGCAAACTGTACTTATTAATATTGTTTATTTCATATAATATAAATTATTTAATAAAATATACATTTTATTTGCAAATTTTAAAATTTAATCTCTCTCCACCAACTCAACCACCGCCCACCTCCACACCACTGTCTACTGCTCTCCCTCTCTCTCTCTCTCTCCCCCTCACATCGAAATAGACTGGAATTCTCCGAGTGTCGAACTCGAACATCATCGCAATGACATCTTTGTAGCACTCAATGTAGACGAGGCGAGAGTCCGAGGCATTTGATCTTGTTTACTCTCTCTCTCTCTCTCTCTCTCTCTCTCTTTCTTTGGGTTCTCCTATGTTAACTATATTCCTCTCCAACAACCATCGCCACCCAATGATGAGACCTTTGAGAACAGCTTTATTGATGGCAAGATGGGAACCATGGGACTAGGGTATGCTTCATGAGCTAGAAGAGATTAGTTTACTTACTGGTTCTGTAATCTTGCTACCCCATTTCTCTCTACTTCCCTGTAGTCTAGTATGTGCTCTATTTCTCTCCGCAGTCTAGTCTGTACAACGAGCACATATTTTATTCATTTGTTCTCTTATTTAATATTCTCTTTCCTTTTTGTCCTCTTAGGAATACAAGGAATGTATCAGAACTAATCTTGTGAGTCTCATGTAGTGTGGCTATTTTAGTACTTCTACCTTCTTTTAGTGAAAGGGGAACTGTGTAAAGTGAGCATATATTCCCATTTCATCTTCTTCTCAAGTATTGTTGTTTACCTTGTCTCCTCTTTAGAGTACAAAAATATGCATTAGAAAATTTCTTTTGAGTCCCATTCATTGATGTATAATAAAGAAATTAATTCTCTTTAAGGGACTTAAATTGTATTTCAATAGGTTATCCTTTTCTATAGGGTGGTAGTGATTGAAATTTGGTTTACTTCAAGTGGAGGCAACCAATATGGTCTTGGACAAATATCTTTAGGATGTTTTGTACTGTTCATTGCCCCTTGTATCATTAGTCTTGTTGTTGATGTTGTTGTTATTGTTGTTATTTATTTATTTTTATAATTGTTATTATTATTATTATTATTATTATTATTATTATCATAACTATTATTTTTCTTTCTTTTGGTAAACCTACCATTGATTGAGGTGTACAACTTCCTAGTTCTCTGAACTCTTGTCGCTTTTATGGCAGCTTCACTCGTAACTTTATGCAATTACGAATTCTCTGCCAATGCACTCCTCAATTACTGTATATCAAAATTTTCTTAGTATCCTTAGCACCAATACCTTCCAACTTTTCCGGGGTAACACCAAAGACTAATTACTATTAATGGCCCGCTATCTCTCTATAGAACATTTTAAGTACATAAACACCTTTTTGAATCTCTTGAACTGTTCCATTGCCAAGTGGCCTTTGAACTTTGAACATATTCACAATATTACTAGAGATGTAATATAACGGCACTGTAGTGGATCTTCTGCATCTGGCATGGATGAGAATGTTAAGTTTTAGGTTGTTGTTGACATTGTTTAGGTACTAGTTCATTTATGGAAGTTTGAAATTTAGTTACCATTTTATGAGGTCTCTATTTGGAGAAATCTTTATGTTTTCAGCTATAGCATTTAGATACTTTTCACTTTTGCCATACAAACTTTTCACTTTCCGGCATAATTAGCTAGCTCTGTAGTCACCTTTTATTATCATTTTTTTTTTTCCTTTTTCAGGTACTAAGTTTCCATTAAAGATTATTTATTTATTTATTTTTTAAAATGTAAGCTTGCAATATCTAAGAAAACGGGAAGCATTAATAATCTTATGACAGTCCTTTAGATTAGCTGGCTTAATAATACTTGATTGGAGGTAAGGCAACTGAAGTATTGCTGAACATTTGGTTCATCATTTTAAGATCAAGAACGCGGCAAATGGTTCATCATTTTATGATCAAAAATCATTGTGTGGTTGTAAACTTGTACTACAGCTTGGATTTGGTCATTATGGAAATTACAATAATTGTAGATGTATGGAGCATGGCTAAATGCATTAGGCCTTTGATCAGATCGAATCATATCCAAACCTATTCTCCTGAGGAAACATTTGAATCTAAATCCAGTAGGTATTTCACTTCAGCTTTTGATTTGATCTGTTACCCTGTCATCAAGTATGGAGGGATTGGATTTCAACTCACGGGAATTTCTTTGTTGAGTTTATGAGATGGAAATCATAAGTTGTCGACCATTACATATTGAAATCAATGAATGGAATGCTTGACAGGTTTTTTGTTAACTGAATTCTATCTCCTTTTTTAATGTGGGGGGGAAAAAAATGATTCAGTCACTTAGTTCATCCTAATATTGGGCATTTGTTGCTTTATGGAGCATTGAGGAGCGTAAACCTTAGGCTTCCTCAGCTTTCTTTTCTGTCTATTCTACCTCAATCATTTCTGACCAAGGACAGTTTGTTGGAATAACTCGAGAACATCATTATTGAGCTGCCTGCCAATGGCTAATCACCAAATTTTTTTTTTTTTTGGCAAGTATCAAAAATAAAAAATGTTTATCCGTAAATGAATTTATTTTATATTTTTTTTTTTTTGAAAAGATATACATAGGTATCTTTCTATGTATCAATATTATTCCCCAAATCAATACACAACTTTTTCGTGAATCAATAAAACAAAATTATTGATAAATACATTTACAAAAATAATGTATTTTGTACTTGAAAAATGGCCATTTCCACTGTTCTCCATTTGCGTAGGGTGTAGTTAAAATTCTTGTACTTCTGAAACCAGGCTTGAAGAGAAGCTCACCAACTTAGAGTCAGAAAATAAAGTTTTTCGTCAGCAAGCCCTAACCACAGCACAAAATAATAAGCTTCTCTCTGGACGATCTAGATCAGTTATTCAGGTAATTCTAGGACAGAGTCATGCATATTGAATTGTGAGATGTTATCAGTTTGCTTACATCTTTTTTGGTTTTACTTTTGTCTGACATTTGGCAGAGGGCTGAAAGTTCCAAAAGCAATACAGTAAGTCAAATTTCTTGCAAAATTACAATTCTTAGTCATTTTTTTTTTTTTTGCTGCACTCTTGCATTATTATTGATCACCTTTTGTAAATGTAATAGGATCTGCATAGTGCTTCAACAAACTTAAGGGATCAATTGGAGGTAGAGGATAGACCACAAAAATCACTTAATGAGAAACAGCAGGAGTATCAGGACTTGCTTATCCGATGTGTTGCGCAGCATCTTGGCTTCAGTAATGGTAGGCCTATTGCTGCCTGCATCATATACAAATGCCTTCGGCAGTGGAGATCATTTGAAGTTGAACGAACCAGCATATTTGACCGGATAATTCAAACTATAGGCACTGCTATTGAGGTATGTATTGCGAAGTTAGATGCTTATATGGTGCAATGTTAATTTGTCTTTTTATATCCAAAGGGCTCTATAACTTTAGAATTACTTTGTGAATTGAAGACTCAGGACAACAATGATATCTTGGCGTATTGGCTATCCAATGCATCAACTCTATTGTTGCTGCTGCAACGCACACTAAAAGCAGCTGGTGCAACTGGCATGACTCCACAACACCGACGATCCTCATCTACTCTATTTGGAAGAATGACACAGGTAAAACAAAAATGTTCTTTTTCCATATGAAAACTTATCCTGTTTGGCATATATAATAAAGGCTGCTCTTTTTTATTCTTAAGAGTTTTCGTGGAACTCCACAAGGAGTCGATCTTTCTTTTGCCGATGGTGAGTTGACTGGCAGAGTGGATACCTTACGCCAAGTTGAAGCCAAATACCCTGCTTTGCTGTTTAAACAGCAGCTGACGGCATATGTAGAAAAGATATATGGGATGATCCGAGATAATTTGAAAAAAGAGATTTCTCCACTGCTAGGGTTGTGCATCCAGGTACTTGAATGTACTTATTTACATATATATATATATATATATATAAAATCAACTGTTTTGGGAATATGCAACTGTCGTAGTTATTATTTTCTTTCCCTGTTAAACACTTCAAATTTTAATATGGATGTGCAAATTGATTAGGCACCAAGAATATCCAGAGCAAGCATACTCAAGGGGACAGGCCGCATGCTTGCAAATGCTGCTGCTCAGGAGATTTTGATTGCTCACTGGCAAGGGATTGTAAAGAGACTTGGAAATTTCTTGGACACATTGAAAGCCAATCATGTAAGCATATTATCATTGTTTCTCCTTCATTTGTTTTCTTTACATGGTTTATGACATGATATTTTTCAATGACATGGTTGGCCACTCTTGTCATTTTAAGTCTGTCTCCAACTTTGCTTAGCACTGGTTAACTCAGAATATTGTCATTCCATGAGCTGGAATTAATTGAAGCAATTCTCTCTGGAAGCAATCTGGAGCTTTATCATTCATTCTCTCATGAATTGTCAACAATTTATTTAAAAAATTGGTACTTTTATCATGGGTGAAGACCTATATTAAAAGCACTAAAATTGTCCATAGTAGCAATGCTTCCCCTACTTGCTCATGAACTAAACGGTATAATCATACTATTTCCTGTGAATGAAACATTATGTCGGAAAATAATAACTACAATCCAGTTTTATACATTATTTCATGGACTGTTCAGTTGTCACTTATCACCATGATAATTTTGAAACATTGTCAAATTTTATGGTTATGTTGGTTTCACTATCTGTTTTTTCTCGAATCAAGAGCCAACATATCAATAATCATCAAAATTGTTAATATGGTACCATTTTCCCACTTGTTTATAACCTCTTTCATGGACTATGCAATAATCACCATAATACCTTTGAAACATGGTAAAAAAGTGTTCATGATTAGTTAAATTTTCATAATTCATTATCATGAATTACCCTGTTTGGTTCCCATGTGTTATTGAACAAAATTTGCAACTTTTGTTGCAAGGGCCAAGAATAAAATAATAAGGGCGTGTAACGTTTTGCATTAAACAAGCCCCCCCACCCACCCCACCACCACCAAATTAGCCTAGGGGGTTTACTTTAAGGAGACAATTACTAAATCCCACCAAGAAAAGGTATTTTTTTTGCAATTCACCCAACTGTGTGAATATTGTTAAAAGAATTTTTTTTTTTTTTTTTTTTTTTTTTTCTCTTTTCTTTCTTTTAATAATAAGAATTGAAAACCAACAGGCCAATGGCCTAGCAGTACCAGACCCCTACTTCCCAAAGGGAGGTTAGGGGTTCGAGCCTCAGTGGAGGCATGTGTGTGTGAGTACAGACTAAGAAAAAAAAAAAGAAAAAGGAATTGAACTTTATATTTTTTGTTACATGCATTGCCATACTTTTAATTAAAGAAAAGCATAAAAAAAAAAAAAAATTAAAAGTAAAATTCATAGTTATGAGTGCAATTACATGTTATTTCTTTAGCATATGTCTAGCATAGTTAAATCCTGCAATATCCTTTCCCCCCTTTTTATATATTTATTTTTATTCACAAACAAAAATGAAAGAAAAACCTACTACATTTTCTTTTGTTTACATGAGAGAAAAGCCTACTATATTAAAAAGTTAAATTATAAAAGTTCATGTGGTCTGTCTTGTTGAATCAAGTTAATACTTTACATCAATGATCTATTATAAAGTTTACAATCCTCTATTTTATTTTTCTTTTCATTTTTATTTTTTATTTATTATTATTATTATTATTATTTTTACTATAAAAACAAATGCACACACACACATATACATATTTACATATATATGGTACAATAAAGTTAAAGTAGTGTAAGATTAATAGCTATTTGATGCCTTTCAATTACTTTTTGTAATTAAGATTCATTTTAGTCGATCTAATTGTGTGATCAAATGTCCATCTCATGTACTTACATATATGCGCATTGTATAAAATATAAAATATAATAATAGTATATCTAATATGTAACATGAGTAAACAAAAATGAAAAAAGAAATGCAACCTCCCTTGAATTGGTGGGTAAATCTAGTAATTGTCCCTTTAAAGTAAGCCCCCTCGATTATTATTATTATTATTATTATTTTTGGGGGGGGGGGGAGGGGAGTGGGGTTGTTGGGGGTGTTGTGTTTTTTGCAATTTGTCCAAATAACAATAACATTAATATAATGACCATTCTTAACTTCTTTAAGACTATGAAATTTACTATCATATTATTTTTCTCTGAAATGAGACTTTTGCCATTGTTGGGAACTGGTTGTAATTGTTAAAGATTTAAAATTGTAACTATTATATAGTTTTCCAAAATTGTTCCAAGGACTGTCCAGCTATTATCTTTGTACTTCTAAAATTTAGCCAGATATCATGGTGGCTGAAGGTTTTGTCATCTTTTTTCTTTAATTATCCTGCGTGGCCCAGCTTTGTTTAATTGTGGGCACCATCTAATTTTGCAGATTTCAGATTTATGAGTAGGTTTTGTTGCATGATACGTCAATTTGTTTTCTTGAATTGCATTTAACTTGAAATATTCTCTCTATGAAATTTGCTTTCAGGCGCCCCCATTTTTAGTTCGCAAAGTGTTCACACAAGTATTTTCTTTCATCAATGTGCAAATGTTCAACAGGTTTGGAGGCTAGAACACTCCTTTTTTTTTGTATACTTGTGAGACTCTTTTGTGGATTAAAGTTCTTTCTGTTACAGCCTACTATTGAGACGAGAATGCTGCTCTTTTAGTAATGGTGAATACGTCAAAGCTGGATTGGCTGAACTGGAACATTGGTGCGATAAAGCAACAGATGAGGTATTTAATTTTTTCTCATTCAGTAATTATTTGTTCTTTTGTTTTTCCTGACTAAATAAAAAAGAAATTCCAGTATGCAGGTTCAGCTTGGGAAGAGCTCAGGCATATAAGACAGGCTATTGGATTCTTGGTATTGCATTTTGTTCTCTGTTCAGTGCTTAAAAGCTTCCGACATTTCTTCTTGTGGTATTATATGAAACAATGTGTATACATCGCTTGTGTTTTCCTGTTTCCTGATTTAGGTCATACATCAAAAGCCTCAGAAGACGCTGGATGAAATAAGTCATGACCTGTGCCCAGTAAGTTGTGACTAACTAAGATTTTTCTAAAAGAACTATTTATTTAACCTCCTTTGTTTTAAATCAGTCCCATTTGTTTATCATCTGCAGGTGCTTAGTATTCAACAACTCTACAGAATCAGCACAATGTATTGGGATGACAAGTACGGGACGCACAGCCTTTCACCAGATGTAAGTCTCTGTTGAGGCCTCTTAACTAGGTTTAGCACTTTGGCCTCTGATCATTATACTGGATAATATTTTTTTCAATGTACATATGCCTTTGGTATTGCTGGAAGTAGATATGAGAGTTGGTAAACTCCTCTGGACATATGTGGAGTCCATAATGGAAACGTCGTTGAATACTGTACAGGTTCCAATAAATAGGGTCAATATAAGTCCTTTAGTAATACTTGCAGAGAAAAATTGAACTCCTTTCAATTTTTGTTGGAGTGATTTTGCATATATGACTTGGTGCATGGTAAAAGTTCAGTCTAATACGTCTCAGATTATTGGCTTGAGTCTGAGATCAATCATTCTAATTATGCAAAATAATGTCAAATGTTAGGTTTGTCGCCAATCTACTTCTTTGACCTCCTCATAGATGGATCATCACTAGGTAGGCCTTCCAGAAATGAAGGGACCATTTTTTGGTGCAATGATAAGTGCTGGCATATCAATTATGAAGATGTCAGATGTGAATTTGAGTCTAAGAGTAGCCACTTTGTCTAAGGTAGTGCAAAAAGTTAGGTCTATCTTTAGTCTTTTTCTCCTAACACTCAGGTTAAAGCCTTGTCTGTTGGGGAAAAACTTATGCTTTGAGTGAGAGGTCACACTTTAGTTATTGGCAATAGTGGATAAGCTGGTGCTTATGCAGACATGGTTGTCTGGAGCATTAATTAATGACTGCCTCCCCTTGATACAAAGTGTCTCCATGTGCACTTTGAGGATGAAGTTGGCATAGACATCTAGGTGCATAGAGATGCTCTGGTGGCTATCTTCTATGGTAAGTTTTTGGCAGTGCAATGAGAGACTTTCTTTGCATCTTCATGGAGGGGTTGTGGCTCATCCAAAGGGGTCTGGTTGGTCTCCTCTGGCTAAGAATTAGATCGGAGTGTGATGGCTTTCTATAAGAGCACTTTGATGTGCTCCCCAATCTTAGCCTCCGCACAACATACTCTTTATTATGTTGTAGAGTTGTGTCAAGACACCTCATTTTGAGGTGGGATGTTCATGGGCCTTGTTAGAGCTGTGTTTGTACCTTGAAAGGGGTTATGACCTGTCAGCTGTGCACTCATCAATAAGCATCCTTGCAGACTCGCTGTCCGAGGTACATTAGGGTGCCTTCAATGTCATTTCATTTATAGATTCGGAGAATTCCGAGATCAATCATGGAGGTGTAAGATAATGCAGAGCTCTCACTGCTTTTGGGTAATGTACGAGGTCCTTCTCTTTCAAGAAGTATTGTTTGTGTTTGTTAAGGATCAAGAGGCCCCTTAAGGAGATATATCTTGTAGAGGCTTTGCGACTTTGGCCCATCTATAGCTAGGGCTATGTAGTGAGTCGACCCGAGTTTTAAGTTGTTTGGGCTTGACTGGTGTTTGGATGAGCTTGGGGCTCGGCTTGTACTTGTTTAGCCAAGCTTGAGCTCCTGTTCGGCTCAAGTACCGCTACCATAATTACAGCTATGCCAGTGTTGCAGTGGCCGTTAATAGAGATTTGCTCTAGCTATGGGGCTTGCAGATCTTACTCTCTAATGTCGTGACAAAGATGATAGAGAAGAGTGACATAGAGATAAGAGTGAAGATCATCCATTGATCCCAAAATTAGAGATGATAAAGAGATTCGAGTGATATAATGAGATAGAGAGAGCTGCTAGGGTATCCAAGAGAAAGAGGGTGGGCGGTGGCTACGTAGGGTTTGGAAGAGATGTAGGCAAGATTTCTTGCATCTTATGGTACACATTTGATGGGCTTAAATGAATGCCTTATCAAGAAAACAAGATGGGGTTTTTTATTGGAAAAGTATATGTTTCGTTAAAAGCCTTTTTTTGGTCATTAGAATTGGGCCTTGTTCATATAACCTTGTTGAACAATAATATTATAAATCCGAGTTTCTTATGTGAGCTTGGTGAGCCGACAACTTCTTTCTAAAACAGCTTAATATTCGAGCTCGAGCTTGTCTCTTTTTCTAACCAAACTAGCTCAGTTACAAGCCTGGCCCGAATTGTTCATGAACATCTTAGTTCACTTGCGGCATTATCTGCAGTTTAACTGTCTCCTTTTTGGAGTTTAATGTCACCGTTGGTCCTTCACATTGAGCTCGGTGATAGGTCTGTCTGTTATAGTGGAGATAGGTGAATCCTGTCAATTTTGTATTAAATTGTCAATAATGTGGTTTCATGATAATAATTCAATAATCGAGGCCATAAAAATGTTTAGTTGATCTGACTAGTCTTTTGCTATGTGATATTTTCATTGACAGGTCATATCCAACATGAGGGTGCTAATGACCGAAGATTCAAATAATGCGGTCAGCAGTTCTTTCCTGCTGGACGATGATTCGAGGTTAAAGATGAGATTAAATCTATTTTTTTTTTTTTTTTGAACACACACCTACTATATATTTTTGCCGCCATTGGGGCTCAAACACTCAACCTCCCCGAAGGGGAGGAGAGCTTATACCATCTACGCAGAGCCTATTATTGGTGATGAGATTAAATCTTGTTATTGTATATTTCTGCATTTGCTTTTCTTTTCTTCTGTTTTGTTAGTATTACCATTTCATGGGAAATCTTTTGTTCCATTGGTCACTGAGTTTTCTCCCTCCCTCATGATGCAGCATACCATTTTCGGTGGATGATCTCTCCAAATCAATGGATCAAATTGACATATCGGACATTGAACCACCACCGCTTATTCGTGAAAATTCAGGCTTCAGTTTCTTGTTGCCGCGTGCTGACTGATCACACTTCGTGGCAGTTCTTTCTAGTTGCTTGCTAATACATACTCTTCAATTTGAGGACGACTATACGAAGGTAGGTCTCTGATTTATCAATCAAGTTCAATCAACCCACTCATTTTCAAGATTTTAACCTGAAACTGTTTTTCTAATTCTTATTCACAGTTCATGGACCCATACTCAATTCATCAGATCACTTCACACATCAACATTCTTTCTGGCTATCTTGAACTTGCACTAGCTAGTGTATGTTGTAACATAAAAAATAGCACTTTCTACGAGTAAGTCCATAGTACCCCGGGATTCCGGGGAAATACTACCCCGACCAATGTTAATTAACTATTCCTACAATCCACAGAAGGATAGAATTTTCATTGGCGGGGTATTTCATAACCGCTACCCCTGGGATATTAAAGATTTTTCCCCTTTCTACCCCCAAAAAAACATCTAAACATCCATCTTTCCATACAATCCAATCATTTTGGTGATAGGCTAAAGAAATTCTTGAAGCTATACGGTGTCGTTCCATTTGGTGTATTTATGTTCTGTCCAAGCTATGGGTCTATTTTTCCTTTTGAGTCGATAGTTATTTTCAACTCAAATGTTGTAATTTGTGTCAACTACAGCTTTCCTTTTAATATAATTCTCTCTTTTTATATTATCAGTTTGTTTAGATCTTGACTTATTTTGAATTTTTTAATTCATTTTTATATTTATTTATTTGTTTTGATTGATTACGACCTCATATTAGGATCGTGTATGATTAAAAAAGTTGCCATGGTTTTTAACAAAGTTAACTACATGTGGACGGTAATTCTACACGTCTTCTTCCAAGTTCCAATGCTATATTTATATTTGCATGATGTATTCAATTTTATGGTGTGATTTTAATATATTTGTAAATCATGTGGACATTAATGTAGGTCAAGTATAGAACACTTTTCTTCATGTCACACACACACAAGTATGTCAATTTGGGTAATGAAAGGGCGCACGTCACTGAAAATAAATAAGTTGAGGACAAATAATTTAATAAATTAGCTCTAAGTTTTTCTCCAAAAGAAGTATAATTTTTTGTAACAACATATTTCACGTGAACGAATTATCTTCTGAACATATTATGATATTTATTACTTAAAGTTCTACGTAATCATGAAAATTCATAATTAAATGGCAAAGATAGGCTTGTTACTTTCAGCATTTTATATTTATTAACTACGTAGTCCTGTATAAAGCAATGAGAGGTAGTGTTTGGTCTCAGTTAATTCGCTAACTGTCATTATTAAAATGTAGTACTTTTCAACACGAATGCTGGAACGATTCTTAAGGTAAGATTTAGCATATCATCAATCCCGTCTTCAAACTGCACATGTAAGTTGTCCAATGCACTATGACACACCAGAGAAGTCCTGGAATTAATAAAAATGGGCAATACTGAGCCAAATCTTGTTTTTCGAAAACAAACTAAGGTTTGGACTTTAGAGAGACAGTAATACGGAGAAGACAAAATTGTTTCAAGCACCAACAGAATCGCAAGCGTCCCTTGTTTCAAAGAGAGGACGGGTTATTCACATTTCTCTTGATGGTGAGAGCCAAATTGAATGTATTCTTAGGGTAAGATTTAGCATACCATCAATCTAGTCTTCAAACTGAACATGCAAGTTTTTCAATGCAGCATGAAAACACCTTTCAAAAAATAAAAAAAGGTGGTGTTGTTATTGTTGTTGTTGTTGTTGTTGTTGTTGTTTATTTTTTATTTTATTTTAAATATATTATTATTATTATTATTATTATTTGACGTAAGCGGAAGCGATAAATTTGTTCACAAGAGATATTTTACTTTAAATCCACAAAGTAGATGTTTTGAATCCACAAAACAAAGGATAATTTCAGAGAAATATTATATTTGTATTGATAATTGAATGAATGATTCTGATATCTGTATTATACATATTTATAATGAAAGAAAACTCTAATCTATAAGGAAATTAATTGCAACTTGAATCCTTATAACATAAGGAAACCTAATCTCGAAAGGACACTAATACCCGAAAATAAACCTAAAAATAAAATTTCTCTAAAAATTCTGAAAAAATAGAGAAAGAAGTCTACTAAAATAAAATTACTAAATATAAAATATGAATGCAATCCGAGTTCGTTTAGATAACGAACAAAAATCCTGAAATATTCGACAGGCTTCTTCGGACCGAAAAACCTTGTTTTGAGGCCCTAAATGATGGTATTTCACTGCAAAGCACATTACGTTACTACATAGCGGTGAGTTTTGTTCATTGGGCCGTTTCTAGTCAAAAACTCTCCTGTCAAGTCAAAAACGCACACTTCAAGATCAGTCCAGAAAATCTGTCAGTATACCCGTTAGGCTCCCTAGCGGTCCAACCGTACCATAAAGGCTTCAACAATCACTTCTACATCACTATTATTGGTAATGAATGAATTATCAAATTTATCTATAACGGGGTACATAGTGATGTAATAATTTACTTTTTTATAAATTCAATGTAAGAAAATTAAATTGGTAATGTTAAATATATATATATATATTCATTGGCTTTTCAATTGGAATAATTATTTTGGGACAACTAAAAATGAAAAGATGGACACTTTTTGTGGGAGAGGGATGGAGTAATTACATTCATGTTGAGTTCCCTTGTAACTACTTCTAAGAATTCTGAAATGTTGGGTTTGTGGCTCTCATTTATACAGAAATTAAATTTTTTTTTTTTTTTTTTTCGTTTTGGATGACTGAAATTTGTTTAGGAAATTGTGTCTCATTAGGTTTCCATTTTAAAGTTGAGATTGTTTTTGTAACTCGTTGTAGGCAAGTGGTGAAATTCTTGTCAAACAAGTAACAAGGAATTGAGTTTAATTTGAAGACTCTAAAGACGGGGTTTAGGCACAAAGATAGAGAGAGAAAAGATGTAATGTTGCGTTTGGTGTGCAGGAATGCAATGGAATGGAATGCCCATTCTAACCATTTCTTTGTTTGGTATGCAATTTAAAGTGAGAATGACCATTCTATTGAAATGAAAATCCATTCTTGAGAATGAAAATCTATTCCATAACTAAACCTATAAAATGACCATTCCATTCCCAAGTAAATTTTTTTAAAAAATCAACTTTCAAAAAACCCTCATGTTCTAAGTCCAAAAATCACCACTATCTTCCACTACAACCACCTATACCTTTCACCACCACCACCACCACCACCACCACCACCTCCTTCCACCACTGCCACCGACTTTTACCACCATTCACCACTTTCCACTACAGCCACCGCCTTTCACCACCGACACCGCCTTCCTTTGCCCCAACTATTACCGTCGCCACCGCCATCGCCGTCGCCACAGCTATCGCCACCACAGCCACCACTACCACTTTCCACCACCACCACCTTCCACCGCCACCACCTTGCACCACCACCACCGCCATTACCTTGCACCACCTTCCACCGCCACCGCTTTTCACCACAGCCACCGCTTTCCACCACCACTGCTGTCACCGCCTTTCGCCACCACCACTACCACCACCACCACCACCGTCTTACACCACCACCGCCGCCATCGCCTTCCATCACAACTACCACCACCGCCTTCCGCCACCACCTTTCACCACCACCACGGCTGTCGCTGCCACCACCACCGCCATCGCCATCGCCATCGCCATCACCTTCCACCATCTTCTACAACCACCACTGCTACCGCATTTCACCACCACCACCGTAACCGCCTTTCACCACCTTCCACCACCACTGCCGCCGCCGCCACCACCGCCTTCCACCACCATTGCCACCATCGCCACCGTCTTACACCATCACCACCATCGCTGCAGCCTTCTATCGCCTTCCGCCATCACCTGTCACTACCACCACTACCTTCCACCACCGCCGCTGCCACCATTTTCTACCACCACCGCTTTTCACCACTTTTCATCACTGCTTTCCACCGCTGCCACCGCCTTCCACCACCACCACCGTCATCCCCTTCTACCACCTTCTATCACCACCACCGCTTTCGCCTTCCACCACTGCCACCTCCACTACCTTCCACCACCACCAACACTTTTAGTACTGCCTTCCACCACTGCCGCCTTCCACCATCGCCGCCTTCCACCATTACCACCGCCGCCACCTTCGAAAACCACCACCTCCACTACCACCGTTTATTTTTAAAAAATTATAGAAGAATGTCGTTGTGCTAATTTAATTTATTTTTTACTAATAGAGATATTTTGGAGAACTCAATTTGAAATATATTCCATTATAAATTTAAAATTGGTCAAACCAAATACTAGAATGGTTATTATCATTCCATTCCTACACATTTCATATTTATAACCAAACAATATAATGAGAATGGTCATTCCATTCCATTCCCATTCTCATTCTATTCTCACTTGTATTCCATTCAATTCCTGCACACCAAAGGCAGCATAAGGGAAATAGTGAGTGTTGTGAGTATAGGGAACAGTATATGTAATTGCTGGGGATGTAGCCTGAGAAGAAGGAGGTTCTGGTGTTCTTAACCCGAAAAAGAGAAGAAGAGTGAAACATGAAAGAGTGTGTGAGATTTTGACATCTAAGGTTGTATATTCTTTTTCTTGAAATATAATAGTGAAATCTCTCTCTTCATGGACGTAATCCTAAAGTTGGATGAACCATGTAAAATATCATACTGCCCGTATATGCTTGTGTTGATGTGATGTGATGATGAGAGAGGGATTTTAACTCTAAAAAACAATCGACTGTAGAATGAGTTGGAGGGAATTAATATCCATAACATAAAATCAGAAAATTGAATCAATCATATAACCAAAAAAAAAAAAAAAAAAAAAAAAAAAAAAAAGGAAAACTATTTTTTTTCCATCTTAATTGGTACTCACACACACATGCCTCCATTGAGGCTTGAACCCTTAACCTCCCTTTTAGAATTAATTACTATCCCTGACATAAAATCAGAAAACTTGTTTTCTGCTTTCATATAACTGAAAATTAGAATACAAAAATGTTACAACAAACACCACGAAGCAAAAAAAACAAATCAAGAAAGTGATAGAACAATAAATATGCACCATACAAAGAACATAAAACTTTACATGGTTTTAAGTAAAGTTTATGTACTTTTACAAGGAAAGATCCAACAAAATTAATAAATACTATTATAACAAAAAAACATACAATCATATACAAACATATACAATCATCAGTGGTTAATTCAAGTCATGAAACTGTGAAATGAGTTTAGGTTGTTAAAAAAAAAAGCCTGCATTGAGCAACTTGTTTGACCAAAGAACACATACAAAGTGCATCATGTTGTGATATAGGAAAACTTTCTGGTGGTTCTCATTTATTTGTTTCACCTGCACCTTTGTAATAACAACTATCGAACTTCCAAAACCCAATTCCTACTTTCAATTGTAGGATTAGGGATGCTAATCCAAGTAGTTGGGAAAAAGCTTTTCTTAAATTTGTAATACTATAAAATTTTATTTTGATATGGGAAGAATTTTGTTGTGTTGACCTTAATCCTCTTATGAAAAATCATCTCTTAATTCTGATGATGTATAGTTGAAGTACAGATTTGGTGTCAGAGTTAACATCATCATCTCATGGACTGTGTTGCCAAAAAGAGGCTGAAAATAGTTCTTTTTATTGCA